CTCCTCCTCCTCCTCCTCCTCCTCCTCCTCCTCCTCCTCCTCCTCCCCCCCCTCCTCCTCCTCCTCCTCCTCCTCCTCCTCCTCCTCCTCCTCCTCCTCGTCCTCCTCCTCCTCCTCCTCCTCCTCCTCCTGGAATCCCGCCCGGGCCACCCAAAGGCCCTGGGCGCGGCTCCGCGTGCGGTTCGGTGGCCCACGCAGGAGGAGCGCGGGCACCTCTCCGAGCCGCGGGAGGTCCACCTCTCTCTGCAGCACGAGGCGCCCGCACGCTGCACCGCGAGCAGGCCGGGCGCGAGCTCCCGGGAGGTGGTCGCCTCCGCCGCCCCGAGGCGCAACACGCAGCACGCGTAGCGTGCCGGCGCGAGACTCCTTACCAGCCTCGAACGTATCCCTATCCCTAAGATTGACACGCCAAAAGGCGATGACATTTTTAGGGATTCGCCCTCAAAAAATAAGGGAATCCCTAAGATTGGCATCGTGATGAGGCGATGCCGAACACAGGGATAGGGATATGTTCCAGGCTGGTAAACTCCACACGTGCATCGAAAACGCAGCTCTGGCGCGACAGGTTGGCCAAGACGCGGGCCCGCCCGTGCCGAACCAACATGCAGCGTGTGCACGACCCAGACGCTCCGAGCACACGGCACGTGTCGAGCTTCAGCACGGGCGCGTCGGGGCAGCTGCTTCTCGCGCGCGACGGCCTCGCTCACACGAGGCCAGCCAGGGGTTTATTTGTTTGTTTTACTCGGGGCCGGTGGTGGTGAAATCGGCGCGCTCGCCGCCCTGGGACGTGCTCGCGCGGCGTCTCGCCCCAGCGGGCCCCACCCCGCGGCTCCTCGGCGCGCCGGCTGCACTCTGGGCCGACGTGCATCCGCCCGCCATTGAACGGGACACCGTCGGCGCTGCGGCCGTGGGCGCCGAAGTGGTCAGCCTGCGGTTCGGATCGCCCGAGGCGCTCGCCGGGCGGCCGGCGCCCTCCTCGGCATCGTCACCGACGTGCTCGGCGCGAGCCACCTGGAAGCCAGCTGGGGGCGCAGGGCAACGCCCGAGGGCCTCGCCGCGCCGCTCTGCAGGGCAGCGGCGCGGTCGCGGTGCAGGAGAGCTGGCGGCAACCACCCGACGGCACGCTCGCCATCCCTGAGCCCCGCTCGGACATGATGGTGCACCTCGTGGGCGCATGCAAGCAGCTCGGCGCTGCTGCTTCGGCACGAGGCATGCACTTCTCTGGAGCGCCGTGCACCGTGCCTCTTCTGCTTCGGGCGCCCGCTCCCCGATTGCCTTCGAGGCGTGTCGGTCGAGCGTGATTGATGGCACGAAAAACATGGGTTTTCGTGCGCAGTTTAGCGCCACCTTCAACCTGCAAATGTGCGTTCTGCCACCTCGTGGCTTGATTACAGAACCTGGCAGTGCGCGTGGTGCGGCGGATCGCGGGCGACCCTCGACTCTCCACCAAGGTGGAGATGACGGACGTCGAGGTGTAAATCTCACTGTGCATGCCCTCGCTCGACTGCCTCCTCATGGAAGTTTTTCGCCCAACTGGTTCGCAACCAACCCCTCCCACTCCTCGCACTGTTGCACGCCAACTCTGCCGAGTCCGTCCTTTCTTGGATGTGCTGTTAGGACGAGCACAGAGAACGAGAGCAGCTGGCCTCGTTCCCAGTCTGGCCGTTTTGCACGAGTGCCACGACCGGTGGCTACGTCTACGTCGGCCCCCTGTATACTTTTCGCGGAGCCCTATCTAGATTGTCATTCCGCCCTCCCTCGTCAGTGCCGCCTGCGGGGAACCCTGGGTCATGCATGCTCGGCGTAGCACGCGCGGTTTCTGCAGAACGCGACCGCGCCAAGCACGGACACCAGTTTCGCATCAAGCAGTACATTGATGGCTCTGGCTTGTGCCCCTCCTGTGGGACGCAATTCAGGACCCAGCTTACTTGTGGGATCGACGCCTCCCTCGCTGTGCCAACCTGGGTCCTGGTCAATTGTCGTCATCTCGCAAACGACGTCGTCTGTCGTCTTGGCGAAAGGACCAGGAAGCCTTGCGTAACGCGTGGAATTAAGGTCACACGCACGCGCCGGCCAAAGGCCCCGCTCTCACGAGAAAGCGCAAACACATCGGCCGTTGCTGATAGCGCCTCGTCCTCTAGCTGTCTTTGCCTTCCGCACTCTGCAGCCGAGCCCTGCACCACGTTGCCCACGGTACCCCGCTACATATATCGGAGATTGGGGGGTGAGATCGAAGTGGAACGGAGAGCCCCCCTACTGGGAAATCGATTTCGGTTTCGTGTTCGTGCCGTGCGGTACGTGCGGGCGAGGCGAAGCTGCGTGGGCGGGGGAGAGGAAATTCTCCTGTGGCTGGGCCGCGGCTGGACCAAAAGGTTCTCCGCCCGGCAACCGGTGGCGCGCGGTGTCCCGCTGGTGTCCCGCTGATGTCCCGCTGGTGTCCCGCCGGTGTCTCGTCGTTGTCCCGTGGTGTCCCGTGGTGAGATCGACAGTGAGATCGATAGTGAGATCGGTAGTGAGATCGATAATGAGACCGATAGTGAGATCGATAGTGAAATCTATAGTGAGACCGATAGTGAGATCTATAGTGAGATCGATCGTGATATCGATAGTGAGATCGATAGTGAGATCGATCGAGTGGGATCGATAGCGAGATCGATATTGGAATCGATAGTGAGATGAATAGTGGGATCGAAAGCGAGATCGATAGTGAGATCGATAGCGAGATCGATAATGGAATCGATAGTGGGAAAGATGGTGAGATCGACTGTGAGATCGATTGTGTCCCGTCGGTGTCCCATCGGTGTCCCGTCGGTGTCCCGTGGTTTCACGTGCTGAGATCAGTAGTGATCGGAGGTTGGGGGGTGAGATCGAAGTGGAACGGAGAGCCCCCCACCGGGAAATCGGTTTCGGTTTCGTGTTCGTGCGTGCCGTGCGTGTGGGCGAGGCGAAGCTGCGTGGGCTGAGGCGAAGCCGGAGAGCTGCGTGTGGGCGAGAGGAAAGTCTCCTGTGGCTGAGGCGCGGCCGAACCAAATGATTCTCCCTCCGGCAAGCGGTGGCGCGCGGGGTCCCGCCGGTGTCCCGCTTGTGGCTGGGCCCCCGCCGGACCAAATTATTCTCCCTCCGGCATGCGGTGGCGCGCGGTGTCCGCCGGTGTCCCGGTGTCCCGCTGGTGCGAAAACGATACTGAGACCGATGACGAAATCGATTGTGAGATCGATAGTGAGATCGATAGCGAGACCGATAGTGAGATCGATCGTGAGATCGATAGTGAGATCGATAGTAAGATGAATAGTGCTATCGATTGTAAGATCGAGTGATATCGATAGGGAGATCGTTAGTGGGATAGATAGCGAGAACCAGAGTGAGATCGACAGTGAAATCGATCGAGTGAGATTAGATCGATAGTGAGATCGATCGAGTGAGATCGATAGTGGGATCGATGGTCCCATCGATCGTAAACAACTCGACACCAAGGCTCCCGAGAGCGAGCTGCAATGCAACAATCACCACTGTTGCCCATTGCTGGCCCACCTCCCCCCCCAACCTCCTCATCACCCGCAGGGTGGTCGTATAGGTAAACATGCAGCTGCATGTATTCACATGTGCAGTGAATGGAAAGTTGATGATTATTTGTTTCATTGGGTGGGCATGCGCCAAGGTCTACGGTTGACGGCTCGCATGAACTCCAAAACACAACACGACAATCGCCACGGTGGGGTCGCCACGGTGGGCGTGTGCCGCTCGGCGCACGACAGCAGAAAAGCAACAGCCCCCGGCCAGCCACGTGCTCGCCTCACTCGGCGCCAGTTTCTGGAGGTGACACGTGAGGATAGAGGAAGTCGGCGGCGCGCCCATGGGGGGGGGGGAAGGCAGAGGGGGCGGGCCTTATCAGGGGGCTCAGAAAGCCTCTGGACCAACTTTACAATCGTCTTCCGACGGCACAGAGGGTTTCTCAGAAGGCTGGAGGGCTTCTGAGAAGCCCCGCCGCCTTCTGAGAAGGCCTGCCCCCTCTTATGTCCCCCCCCCCCCTGGACGCGCAGCCATGAAAGCCTGGGTTCCAATAAAGTATACTACACACGATAGTGCCTGTTCATGCGCTCTTGCGCGTTGAGGCCGAAAAACATCCGATTCGACAGCAAAGGAGCGACGCGGAGAAGCGCCAGCACGACCCCTGGGCAAATACCTGCAAGCATTATTTATGTTCGGCGGTGGACAAACCTCCCTTTAGTAAACCTCCCCTTAGTGAAAACGGCCTGGGACCGAAACCGACGGACCTGGACCCGCAAAAATGACGGTCGCGACGCCCTCTCGCGAACCGAAAACGGCCAATTCCTTCATCGACGTGTCAGGGTAGGAGGTCTGTCCACCCCCGATATGTACGCACGGCTGCGACATTGCGCGCCGTTCTGCGCTCCAAGCGTCCCCGTGCAGCGCACCCCCCAGCTTTGCGAGCACTCGGGAGCAGCATCTCCGGACAGGCCCGCGCCTGCACGCGGGCCCAACGCGTCTGAGGCCTCGGAGGGCGAGGACGAGGCGGGCCGATCCGTCCACGCACAGCCCGTTGAGAGCGTCGTCGTCGCCGCCGTCGCCGTCGTCGTCGTCGCCGCCGCCGTCGTCGTCGTCGTCGTCGCCGTCGCCGTCGCCGTCGCCGTCGCCGTCGCCGTCGCCGTCGCCGTCGCCGTCGCAGTCGCCGTCGCCGTCGCCGTCGCCGTCGCCGTTACCGCGTCGCCGTCGCCGTCGCCGCGTCGCCGTCGCCGTCGCCGTCGCCGTCGCCGTCGCCGTCGCCGTCGCCGTCGCCGTCGCCGTCGCCGTCGCCGTCGTCGTCGTCGTCGTCGTCGTCGTCGTCGTCGTCGTCGTCGTCGTCGTCGTCGTCGTCGTCGTCGTCGTCGTCGTCGTCGTCGTCGTCGTCGTCCGGCGCAGCCCGTTGGGGTGCGTCATCGCACCGAAGCAGGTTCCAGTCGGGACGGAGGAAGGCAGCAATACACTCGCCTGCAGGTCGGGCCAGAGGTGCGGGGCGAGGCAGAGCGGAGCAACCTATGTGGTGCAATCGACACATCCCACGCTCTTGCAAACATCCCACCCATCCACCCGCAACTTGGTTTGCAAAACCTCTTAAGACCGACTACGACGTCACCGACGACAACGACTACGACGACACCGACGACGTCTCCGACGACTTCGACGACGACAACGACGCCGACGCCGACGACGACGAAGACGACGACGACGCCAACGAAGACGACGACGAGGGAGGAGGAAGGACGAGGACGGCGACAACGACGACACCGACGAGGGAGGAGGGAGGACGGCGACGACGCGAACGACGAAGAAGGAGGAAGGACGGCGACGCCGACGACGACAACGAGGGAGGAGAGAAGACAACGACGACAACGACGACGACGACGACGACGACGGCGACGAAATAGGAGGGACGACGGCGAGACGCCGACGACGGACGACGACGACGAGGGAGGAGGAGGAGGAAGGACGACCACGGCGACAACGACGACGGAAACGACCACGACGCCAAAGAGGACGACGACGACGAACACGATGAAAGACAGAGGACGACGTAGGCGACGACGACGACGACGACGACGACGCGGGAGGAGGGAGGACGGCGACGACGACGACGACGCAAAAGCGCGCGCGCACGCTTTTGTTGAAAATCCGTGTTGCGAAACCTTGCGTTTTTGTAGGTTTTTTGGACACACGATTTTGGAATCCTTCCGAAACCGATGGGTTTTGAGGGATTTCGGCATACGCGCGCGACGACGCGCGCGTCTGCACTTCGTCCCGTTTTTTGCAGAGGATTCTCGCGACGGCACACGCGCAAGGGCGTTCGACAGATTTCGACATGCGCGCGCGCGAAGCCCGTTTACTAGCATTCTGTGAAAATCTTGGAAAACCTATGGTTTTCTTACGATTTCGCAAGAGCTCGCGCGGAAGCTTTTTTAGCAAATCAGTGTTGCGAAACCCTGTGTGTTTGATTGTTTTTGTATGTTTTTTGGGAACTCGATTGCGAAATCCTTCTGGCACCGAAGGTTTTTGAAGGATTTCGGCATGCGCGCGCGACGACGCGCGCGTGTGCACTTCGCCCCTTTTTGTTGCAAGGGATTCGTGACAAAGTTTTACGTTAGAGCAACAAGTGTCACCGCATAGTGTTTTTTACAAGGGAACCTCAGGGGGGGGATGCTGGCCCCCCTGGGATAGTGTAAATTCATTTTTAGGATGGACATGTGGTCATAATCACATGTGATTCACATACCCGAAAGGGGCATTGATAACGCTGGGGGGGGGGAGATCCTATTCTGTTTTTAGAGAGGAGAATTAATGTGTTGCAACCTAGGCTGTGCAATGTATGCTGTGCAATCTATGTGGTGATATCTCTGTTGCGCAGTCGATGTGGTGCAATCTATGTTGCGTACTAGATGTGGAGCAATCTGGATTGTGCAATCTATGTGGTGTAATCTGTGCTGTTATGTTGTGCAGTCGATGTGGTCGGGGCGGCGACGGCGATATCATACCCGCCAGACCGACCCGCGGGCACAGACGACGGGCGCGACAAGGCGGCGACGGCGGCAACACGGCCGCCAGACCGACGCACAGGCCCAGACGACTGGCGGCGATGAGGCGGCGACGGAGGCGGCGACGGTGACAACATATCCGCCAAGCCGGCCCGCAGGCCCAAACGACGGGCGGCGACGAAGCAACGACGGCGACAACATAGCCGCCAGAGCAGCCAGCAGGCCCGGTTCCCCAGAAAAGAAATAAGAACCCCTGTGTGCAAGCACCGATTGGGGAACCTGAGCGTTGCAAGCGCCGCGCAGTCAGAAGCGAAGAGGCGCTCGGGCAAGTCGCGGAAGCGCTCCCGCCATCCAGCGGAAGAGCCTCGTGGGGTCGCCTCCCAACTGGAGGAGGAGGAGGAGGAGGAGCAAAAAATGAGGCGGCTGGAGGAGGAGGGAGGGAGGGAGGGAGAGAGGAGGGAGGGAGGAGGAGGAGGAGGAGGAGGAGCGAGAGGAGAGAGAGAGAGAGAGAGACACAGAGAGAGAGAGAGAGAGGAGAGGGAGGAGGGAGGATGGCCACTGTGCGAACCACTTGAAACCTGGCCTCGGCGCAGCCCAGCCTGCTGCGGGCGTGCCCGGGCGGGAACTCTGGGAAGCACACTGGAAGAGCCACGCTACCGAACACAGATAAATACACACAAATAAAAGGATTCCCCATATTTTTCCATATGTTCTGCATTTCTGTCTTCCCCCCCACTTCCCATATTTTCCCATATTTTCTGGGGAATCGATAGTCCTCGCCTCCTGGCCAGAAGGGAAGTTATTTTGTGCGAGCGTTTCTGATTCGGCGTCTCGGCATTGGGCGGAAGGGGGGGGGGGCTCCGACTCCAGACCTCTGCTTTGTGCAACTGTTTGCAAGAGTGCGGCCTGCGGGGCAAGCTCCACCCGCTCGAAACGGGCAACAGACACGGGAAAAACTGCCATGGAGGATGCCGCACGCGCTATCACGCCGGCCGGCGGAGCGCGCGCCCGAAGAATGAGGAGCGACGGAGGACGCACACGCAAAACCAACTTATGTGAACCGTGGACCGATTGGGTGTCGAGGTTCGATGTTCGAGGATTGGGTGTCGAGGTTCGATGTTCGAGGTTCGAGGATCAAGGATCGAGGATCGAGGCTCGAGGCTCGAGGATCGAGGCTCGAGGGGCACGGAGATGAGAACCAACGTATGAGTAGTGGAACCAACAAACCACACAAACGTATTTCCGCCCCCGCAAGCACAAACCAGCGCCGATCCAGAAAATCCGCTCGGAGCTCAGGAGGCTTATGCTTATGCCATCTTTTGATTTTCGAATGACGGGAAGCCCCTCCCCCCCAGCACGACCACCAGTACCCGAAAACCTTCCACCTGCTCCTGGCCCATGCAAAGGAAGGAGGGCCTGGCGCGCGTTGGGCGGCTGGGTGCGCCCTCACGCGATCGATCCCCCCAGGTCGTCCACCTTGTTGAGGAGCGCGTGGCACGAGTCCTGGACGGCGCACATGATCTTTCGCAAGGTCTCCAAGCTCTCTGCTTGTTCGGAAACCAAATCTGACGCCGCTTCCCCATCCTCCGCGATGTAACTCATGCCGTCGAAGATATCCTGTGCGTCCGTCTCTGGCATGTCGCTAGAAACAAACGGCTGCACTTGATGCACCACGAACATCTCGGCATCCGCATGGGCACTTGCCTTGAGTCTCCACATGAGGAGGAGGTTAGCGCTTGGGCCAGATCTCCTTGGACACAGCACCCACTTCGAGTGGATTTTCACCTCGTGACTGCCACGAACCACACAGCGCGTAAGGTAGGCGCAAAGCATCTCCACGCAAGGCCACTTGAGGGGCATATGGTGGGGTACCAGCCACGATGGACTCACGACACTCACGTCAGTCGAGAAACTTTGGATAGAAGGCAGCGTGATAAAAGACATCTCGTTGGGCAAATTCATTGGCTTGTTCATCCGGTTCATGAAGCCAAGCCAAATGAAAAGCCAGCAGGGCAAGGCACAACAATCGAACTTCTTGTAGCAGTCCCTCTTCCAGAAGAACACGCGAGCTGATGTGACGGCGATGTCCAAATTGACATAACACTTCGAATATATGTCGGTTGTGTCCTTAACAGAAAGATGGAAGAGTACCCTTTCCTTGCTTCCACTTGCCAGGTAGAGCGTGGGCTGCGGCTGTACTGCGTCATCTGACTGCGGTCGGATCGTGAATCGGTTGCCTTGCTTATTGCTGGCCGCAATAAACGCTCTGTCAACGATTTCTTTGCAAGCCGACGGGACAACGCCGTTCTCGACCAAGTCCTTCTCAGTGACGAACTCTGGAATGTGCCTGGAAAGGCTCATGATCATGTTGTAAACATCGATGATGTCTCCGTGGTTGCGTGTGAACTGTATGGCTCCGAACTTGGTCTGCATCACTGCAGTGCCAGGCAAAAACATCTCCCGCAACAAAATCTGATGTATGATGCGCTGGGGCGTGTTGAGCTTGTGCCGGGCCATTTTGCCGTACGTTACGTCATGGTCGTGCCTGAAGACGTCGACGCGCAGGTCGGTCCCAAGGCACTTGATGGGTAAGAAGGGTCGACGGTGGCGTACGTAGAACAAGCGGCGATCGGTGACAACCACGGCATGACGAGTCTTCCCAAACGGCAGCAGCAGGTACCACACCTTGCCCATCAAAATGTCCATGAGGCTGATGCTTGGAGGCAACAGGGGCATCTCGATCCAAGCAGCTATAACATCCTCGTCCTGCTCGATGCCAAACAGCTTCTTTGGCACCTGGAGCCTTAGAGTCCAGCGCGTGTCGGGCACGGCGTGGAGGTCCTTATTGAAGAAGTCCTTCCAGGTGTCAAACTCTTCGGTCATCGCGAAATGCTTGACGCCAGTCCATCTGTCCTGATCCTCCTCCGATGCCTCGAAGCTGTGCTTCATTCCGTGGTCTTTGGAATTCTGGTTCATTACTGTCTGTAAGAAGTCGTTCGCCAGAGGCACCGTAAGAGCAGTGTTGGCTGTCAGGGTCTTGTAGGAACGCTTTGTTCGTCGATTGATCGTGACTGCCACGTGGTCCGTGGCTCGTGTCATGTGGACTGCGTGCTTGGCGGCCAAAAACACAAATATGATGGTGCCGGTGTCAGCGACCAAACTTATGATGGTCTTGATGTTGCCAAACGTTCCCTCGTCGTACACGCCCTCAAACGCACCTTTGGCACATCCGCCACAACAGGGTGGTGACTTGCCATACTTGATGCACTCGTCCTCGGATTCGCTTACCTCCACGAGGTTGCAGAAATGCGGGTTGACTGTGTCGTGACCGTGTATGATATATTCGTCGCAGTGGACTTTGTTGCACCGTGCATCCGTTGGTCCTGAGCCTTCGATGCAGTAGCCCTGCATTGTGGCGAAGTGCTCCAGTGCGATGGCACGGTCCATCCACGAGATGCCGGTGTCGACGCTCGTGACGAGGGTCAAGAACAGAGTCATGGATAATATCAGGGCGGACGTGCTGATGCCCGTGCTGAGCGCAGAGAGCGACGATGGCGGCACCGTGCTCACGGCGTGCCCGAAGCCCAGGCTGCCCTGCATGTCCAGCACGTGCTGGCTGGGGTACTTGCCGAAGTACAAGTGAAGACTGTGGCGGCGTGCGAGCATGTGGCCCCACTGGCAAATCTGTGCCGTGGTGCACTCTCGAGCCATGTGCCGTCGACGATGCTCGTCCATGTAATCATGCGGGAGCAAGCTATACAGCCACAAAACCAACAGAATCGCGGATATTACGATGAAGGGAAGCTTCTGCGAGATGAGCCGTTCCATATGCTTGAAATTGTCAGTTTCTGCCTTCAGGTACTCGTATTCGTCTTGTAACGTCATGTTCGTGGCCAGCATGAACACAACGTTGGGTAACACCACGATAAAGAACAAAATCGCAATGTACTTAATGAAGCTCTGTAATGCCTCGGCGGAGGTCCCTGGACAGCACAACGGCCTGTCAATCTTCAGCTGGATGACGTTGCCCTGCTTAGTAAGGACCAGCATGATGTCATCATCACGGCCTCTGAAAACAAGGTAGAAGCCCAACGTGAAGATGGCGAAGAAGGCCATGGTCTTGTAGCCGGCCGCCTCGTTCCTGATGACCACAACTCGCTCGAGGTCCTTGCCCTCCAGTTCCTGGCCCAGGTTGTCGTAGACCACCTTGAAGGTCTCTCTCTTCAGCTGCTCGCGCTCCTGCTCGGTCGTGGCCTTCGCCATCAGCTTGTCTATCCGCTGGGCTGCGGGGGACTTGCTCGCCTCGTCCAACCACCTTGGGGTGTTCCTCCTCCTCCTCCTCCTCCTCCTCCTCCTCCTCTTCCTCTTCCTCTTGCTCTTCTTATTTATCTTCCTCCTCCTCCTCCTGTTCTTTCTCCTCCTCCTCATCCTCCTCCTTCTCCTCCTCCTCCTCCTCCTCCCAGGGTTGCCCCTGGCTCCAGGTGCCCTCAGGATCCTTGGGGAGCCCCAGATGGCCTCCACAACAACCCCCCCACTAGGCTTGGAGGGCCATGGGGCGCCAACATGGCGCGAAAGCAGAACAAAGCCAGGACGAAGATAACATCGGGTGAATATAAATCGGGAATCTCTGAGATCTGGCGGATCTGGAGGATGTCTCGGGCGTCGCGACCTTCACAGAGCGTTCCGGAACGCTCCGATGGCGTTCTGGAACGCTCTAGAATCTAGAACGGATTTATCCTCGTCCTGGCCCCGTCCGAAACATGGCGCGAAAGGCTCGGGACACCCTGGGCCAGCTCCTCCTCCTCCTCCTCCTCCTCCTCCTCCTCCTCATGCAGACCTTCTCCTCATTATCCTCCTCCTCCTCCTCCTCCTCCCCTCCTCCTCCTCCTCCTCCTCCTCTTTGTCTTCCTCTTTCTCCTCCTCCTCCTCCTCCTCCTCCTCCTCCTCCTCCTAGGACCAAGACTCCAGCCGCATGACACCCGTGCCCCCCAAAAACTCTCCCATGATTCCTCCTGGCCGGAACTTCAAGGAGAGCCTGGCCGTGGGCGCCAGGGGCCTCCCGGGAAGAGCCCAGAGCAGTCGGGAGCGAAGGAAGGGGCAGCGGCATCGGCATCGCTTCCCAACGCAAACTGGCGAATGTTCTGGATCCTCTTACACCAGAGCTTGGATCCCATGCTTGTGTTATCACGAAGACTCCTGGTGGGTGTGCTGAGGAAGTCAACGGGCCCTCCGGAAGCCTCTTGGGCGCCTCCGCCTCCGCCTCCTCCTCCTCCTCCTCCTCCTCCTCCTCCTCCTCCTCCTCCTCCTCCTCCTCCTCCTCCTCCTCCTCCTCCTCCTCCTCCTCCTCCTCCTCCTCCTCCTCCTCCTCCTCCTCCTCCGTTCTCCTGGGAGCGATTGGGCGGCTCCCTCCGACCTGTCCTCCCTGGCGCCGCCCATGGTCTTCTGCTTGAGCAGCCTCGCGCGCTCACGGCTCGGCTACACGTGGGAGCGACCCCGACTGCAACCTTCCGTGGGCCCGCGCGGACCTCTCGGATCGGCGCGGGGCCGCCCCCTCCCTGGCGCGCGGGTCGCGCGCAAAGGGTCGCCCCGCGCCGACCCGAGAGATCCGCGCGGGGATAAGAGCATTTACGGCAGGTCCGTGTCGTGTCGACCCCGGCGTTGGTTTTTGACACCGCGCTGGATCGTTCAACCTTGAACGATCGGCCGTCTCCGCAACGTCCGATCGTTCAGCATCGATCGATTCTGGGTCGCCGCCGGCGTTCAACGTTGAACGCCCGCGCTGGGGTCGCCGCTGGTCGACACGACGCAAACCTACCGTAGGCAAGAGTGACCGCTGGTGCGCGACTTTCGGGGACCGCGGGAAGGCCGGACTGGAGCGCGCAAGCCGCTACTATCGCCAGAAGAAGAATACGAATAAGACTACTGATAATACTACTCAGAATAATAATCATGATGATAAGAATACAAATGATAAGAATACTAGTAACAAGGAGAAGAAAAAACAAGAGGCATAAACATAAATTTTTGGAACTCCGCGCGGTTTCGGATTTCTTAGATCTGTGCTAGAACCCCCTCCTTGCAGCGCGGAGCGCGCCGGCGCCAGGGGGCTCCAGCGCAGATCCAAGAAGTCCGCGCGGGACTCCGAGAGTGCACGCTTATGCCGCTCTTCCTCTCCGAATCGCGTCTCGTTCGGCCACCTGGTGGACACAGTGCAGGCCCGAGGAAAGCTTGACAGGTCCCTCCCAATGTTTGGATTCCTTAACTATCCATGACAAACGAGCAACACACACCCATACCCATAGGGGGGTCGTTGAGAGGAGGACTGGTTATGGGTATGGGTGCGGGTTGTCGGACCCTGGGGAACGCTCCCGTTCGAGCGGGGACCCCCATCCGACAACACGCACCCATAGCCCTCTCCGACCCCCCTGCGGGTATGGGTGTGTGTGTGTGTGTGTGTGTGGGTATGGGTGTGTGTGTGTGTGTTGTTGGCTCGTCATGCCCAGTGCTCCCTGATCCAGTGCCCCCACCGCAATTGGCCTCTCGTGGCGCTCTCTCCGCGGCATTCCTCTGGGGCGGGGGGCGCTCGGCGGCTCGGGCGGCGGGGCCCCCGCCTGGCATCGCTCGGACGTCCACTCCCTGTGCTTTTGTTCGGTTTCGTGCGTGGTTTTCTCCGCCGAGTGATCAGGGATGCTCCTCGATCGCCCTCGCCGAGGAAAAAAACACGCACACGCCCGAGCGATGCCAAGCGGGGGGCGCTCAGCTGGCTCGGGCGGCGGGCCCCCCCCCGCGCGCCCGCCCCCAGAAAAGCGGCGGGGCCACTCGGTGATGTTGCATCCTCGGGGGACCTCGTCTGTCCCGTCGCGGCTCTGTCCGCGCCGAGTGCGTGTCGAATCCATGTCGGACCCGCGTCGGATCCGCGTCGCATCCGCGCCGAGTCCATGCCAAAATCCGCGTCGAGTCCGCAGCGAGCCCCCCAAAAAGGCACCAACTTTAGGGACAGATGCAACAGAACACTCGTTGGGCGCCCGAATTATCCGGGGTAACTCGGGTCCGGGGTAACTCGGGCTTGGATTCCCGAAAAAGGAACCCGAGTTAGCCCTGACCCGAGTTACCCCTGATGATTCGGGGCAATGAGCTCGGGCGGGCGGTCGCTCGCACGCGCAGCCGGCTGCTGGGGCCCCTCGGCCGCGGGCGCGGGCCCCGCGGCGGCCGGCATGTGGAGGGCCGCCGCGCGCCGCAGGGGGCGCGCGCGGGGGGAGGGCCGCCGCGCTCTCCGCGGGCGCCCGCCGGCTCGGAGGGCCTCCGAGCCAGGCTGGCCTCTGAGCCAACATTTTTGTTGTTGCGGTTGCTGCTGCTGTTGCTGCTGTGTTGTTGCTGTTGCTGTCGTCGTCGTCGTCGTCGTGGTTGTTGTTGTTGCTGCTGCTGCTGTTGCTGATGTTGCTGCTGTTGTTGTTGTTGTTGGTGTTGTTGTTGTTGTTGGTGTTGTTGTTGTTGTTGCTGCTGTTGTTGTTGTTGTTGTTGTTGTTGTTGTTGTTGTTGTGTTTGTTTGTTGTTGTTGCTGCTGCTGTTGTTGTTGCTGTTGTTGCTGTTGCTGTTGCTGCTGTTGTTGCTACTGTCGTTGTCGTCGTTGTTGTTGCTGGTGCTGGTGTTGCTGTTGTTGCTGCTGTTGTTGCTGTTGCTGTTGCTGTAGCTGTTGATGTAGCTGTTACTGTTGCTGTTGCTGTTGCTGTTGCTGTTGTTGTTGTTGTTGTTGCTGTTGTTGTTGTTGTGGTTGTTGTTGTTTTGGGGGGATAAAGCCCAGTCCGCGCTGAGTTCTTTAGGTTTCCTGTCAGTTGGTAATGGGGCCTCTCCTAAGAGAGGCGTGTGATGTGAGGCTCAGCTGGCCTGAGCCAACAATGGTTGATCCAAAGGGCACTCCTAACCCAGTGGGAGGGGGCCTGAGTTACAATTATGCTGCTCCCCTCGTGCTGGAGGACCAGCTCCCAGAAATGGTTTCGGGCACCCGGAACAAAATCGACAAAGTGTCGAGCGAGTATCGCCTCCCAGGGCCCGACAAGTGAAAACCCTCAAATTTAGGTACTTCCTTGGTGCCCGAAATTCTTTCTGGTGGTCAAGGCTAAAGTAAGTTGGGGCATCATACAGTTACAGTCGGAGCTCGACCGCAAGAAGCCTTCCACAAGAAACCCAACCCTGAAGCCCCAGGATGTGGATTTTGACTTCTGGTGTGGGAGCGTCACACTTTCCATAGCCAAACCATCGAAACCCAAGAAACCCAGGGCACCCTGGAGGCAAGCAGGGTGTTTCTTGGTATGGGCTTCCAATGTAACCAAAGAGGAACCCCTAACCCTTTGGGAGGAGCCAGGAGGGCCAGAACAGTAGGGATAAGAAGGTCTTCTATGCAGATGCATCAGACCAAACCGCCCAAATCTATGATCACTAGGACCACAGTGAGGCCGGGAATGGTGTTCACGATCGTCAGGACGCAACAGTGACGCTAATCCGTGGCGTTGAAGTCCCAGGAATGGTGTCCTGGCACGGCTCAGGATTTTCACACGGTTGTCTTCCAACTGGCACTTTCCTGAGTGACAGTGAACCCTTGTAGGGACCTGTGAAGAAAGAGCTTTGAGGGAGGGTTTCTTGCAATATCGTTGATGTGTCTTGGGTTTGCACTGTTCCTCGTCCTCTGGTCCTACTTCAGGTACAGGTACAGATACAGCCTGCATGCTGGCTCCAGAGGAGCGGTCCCTTAAAGAGGCAGGCGGCGACAAAGGATTGTGAAACGTGTGTTGGTGAAAACTGCAGCACGGGTCGCTCACATCTGGTAGAAGACGACGGACAAGTGATGGTACGTGGATTGCAGCAGGAGACAAAAGACTAACGAGACACCCCCTGATTGCTAGCAGAAGACAGAAGACTAACAAGCGATGGTCCTGCTTCGACCCCCTTCGAACCCGTCTGGGAGGCCTGGACTCCCCCGATGGGCGGGCGAGCGCGGGACCCGACGGTGGTGCTGGCGCCCCCGTCGACGCCCGCGGCGGGGTCGCTAGGGAGCTCGCCGCGCCTGGGCGGCTGCGCCGTCGTCGCGCCGCCGTCGTCAGGGAGATCCGGCAAGGAGTAGGAGGGAGGATGAGGAGGAGAGAAAGGAGGAGGAGGAGGAGGAGGAGGAGGGTGAGGAGGTGGGGGAGGAGAAGAAGGAGGAGGAGGAGGAGGGAGGAAGGGACTAGCGAGGAGGGAGGAGGGAGGAGCGAGGAGGGAGGAGGAAGGAGGGAGGAGTGAGCAGTGAGGAGGGAGGGAGGAGGGAGGGAGGAGGGAGGGAA